ATATATATATATATCTATATTATTAAAACTGAAGTGCCTTTTGGTACTGTTTGGAAATAAGAATAATAAAATAAATGAAACATTGTTTGGAAACATGGATAGTAGATTAAGTATTTTTTTTATTTGTACATTTAGCCATTGTATTTAGAATAAATTAAATATTTTCCTTTTGTATTTCTTTTTATTTACAGATTATGTCATTGCATTTAAAATCAGTTTAAATTAATTAATTTCAATGATTTTTCTTTCTCTGTGATGAAAATAAAAACAGAAACCGAAATATATAGTATACATTATATAAAATAATTTTTAAATATAATATTACCTTATTTAGTTTAGTCAAATATAAAATTGTGTGAGTTCAATTTTAAAAAAAAAATATCATAAAATTAATGATAATTCATAGAAAACTAATTCAAAAAAATAAATTTTAGTGTGTTGTTTTATTTCAAAATAAATTAACAAAAAAACAACATGTTAGTATATGAATGGTACGATTACATCAAATTGCATCAAGTTATAAAATTTCTAATATACTACTATGTACAAATAAAAATTATTATTAAATATTTATATTGTATAATAATATATTTTACTTTATATGTAAATTACAAAACATTAAAAAAATTTTTTTTTAAAAACCAACGGTTTATGAATTTACGTTAAACACAAGTCAAATCAAACATCCGCACGGGGGTGCGGGTCAAGTTCTAGTATATATTAAATATATAACATAACATATATGATTTTACAGTCAATTTGAGACTCAAGTCGAGGAAGCAATACCTGGTATATCGACAAATGAGTTAGACAAAAGGAAAGATCAACACTTTATCAAGTGGTTGAGGAAACAGGTATTTATTTATTACTTAAATTGTATGCATACATTACCACAAAGTAAGTCTAATGTCTAATTATTTTACTTTTTGTTGCAAATTGATTATGACGATCCTAAGTATCCTGCATGGTTTCGCGAATTACTTCAAGGCCCAGTTGCAAAGGTCATTACATCGTCGATGTATTTCACCCGAGGCTATACTTTTCTTACCTATGACTATGGTAGTCACCGGGAGACAAGTAATTATGGAATATGTGTGAAAGGCGAAACAAATTTCTATGGGATCTTGCAGGAGATTTATGAAGTTCAATTCCCGGGTATGGGTTTGAAATGCGTTATCTTCAAGTGTGAGTGGTACGACCCCGTCGTAAATAGAGGTGTTCGGATTCACAAGAACGGTGTAGTTGATGTCAACGGTGGACGCATGTACACCAAATTCTTTTCTTTTTTAATATCCAGGTTTCCAGTATTAATTAATTTTTACATATTGATCTTTATTTTCGTAGGTACAACAAGTTCGAGCCTTTCATATTAGCTTCCCAAGCAGATCAAGTTTGCTTCATTCCATAGCCTCGGATTAGTACCTCGGGAATAAACTGGTTAGCTGTTATCAAAGTTACACCTCGAGGACGAATAATCGCTGGAGAAGAACCACCATTACAAGAAGAAAACACCAATGAGATCGAGGAAGCTGAAGCATAAATTGATGAGTTCCTACTCATTGATCCGCATAATCGTGAATACGAAGATGTTCCTGATCACTCAACGGACAGACGACGAGTTTTTAGAAAATGATGATGTTTCAACAGATTACGACAATGTATGCGAATGAATTATGTATGTTTATAACTTGGATTATATATGTTTTAAGTTAGATTACATATGTTTTAAGTTTGTTTAATCAGAAAATCAATTTGCATTTGGGGTTTATGTGTATAAGAGGTTATGAGTTTGGTTGTAGAATAGGTTATAAGTTAAGGAAGTTGTGGTTTGGGGTTTGGGGTTTCGAGTTTAGGGATTTATAAATCCTTTCCTCGTAAAGCCCTAGTAAGAGAAAACACGGGCATAGCAATTTCCTCGTAATGTTCTGGTAAGGTGTTACTAGGGCTTTACGAGGAAAAAATGCGGACATAGCAATTTCCTTCCTCGTAAAGGGTTTTCCTCGTAAAGCCCTAGTACAATCATTACGAGGACTTTACGAGGAAATAAAAACACGGGCATAGCTATTTCCTCGTAAGATCCTAGTAACATTACTAGGGCTTTACGAGGAAACCAAATTCCTTATATATACTCGAGCAATCCGGTTTTTCATTTGTTAGCAACCTTCTCTCTAAATCCTCTAAAGGTTCTCTCTAATTCGTAGTTAGGTGATTAGATTAGGGAATTTAGATTAGGTGGTTAGATTAGGAATTTTAGATTAGGTGGTTAGTTTAGGTAATTTAGATTAGGTGGTTAGTTTAGGTAATTTAGATTAGGTTTGTTTACTTTTATTTAGTGTTTTTTTAAATTATACGGGGAATTAATGTTTTGATTTTTGTTTTTTTTTAAATTTAGATGCCTAGACAGAGCAAGCTTGCTAAGGCTGCTGGTAACACGGTTGGAAACCCGCATTTGGAGGAGATGTTGCGTCAGACACGAGAACGCGGAGGGATTCCAACCCAACAGCATCCACCATCACAGTCACAGCCGGCAACCAACTATGGAGAGGATTTGCCGAGCCAGGACGACGAGTTCGTTCAGCAATTTCACGACCAACATCCGTAGTTTTTTTTATTTTTAATTGTATATTATGAATTTAAAAACTTTTTGTATATTATTTAGTTATTTATAAAATATTTTGTTTTTATTTTTTATTTATAATTTGATTTTTTTTTATTTTTAAAAAGTAAAATAATTATTTATAATTAATTTTTTTAATAGGAAAAAAACATTTCGAAGCAAAATCCTCGTAAATGTTTCCAAGTAATGTCCTCGTAAATGGTTCTAGTAAGTTCCTCGTAATTTATTACTACGATCTTACGAGAAAAATCTTACTACGAGCTTACGAAGGAAAGCCCACCACGGTTTTACGAGGAAAAGTTTCCTCGTAAATTCGCTATGACTTTACGAGAAAAAAAGCTTTACGATGAACGTGTTACGAGGAAACGCGTTTCCTCGTAAGTTCCTAGTAATTGTCCATTTACTAGGAACTTACGAGGAAAACCCGTCCTAGTAACGGACGAGTTTTCTTGTAGTGAGAAAATCAAGCGGATACTAAGAAACGTTAATTAGATCGAAGGAAGCAATGGCCACATTACCGACGGTAATCAGCACGTCAATATTATGTAAATAGTGATTTGGACGGCGGCTAGGGTGTTAACAGTCGGAAACTGCAGATGATGTACAAGCTCGTGCTGGTTTCGCTCAGACAATCTTCCTTCTTCCTCTGTTCAACTCTCCCCCTTCAGGTAAATCAACTACCAGATTTTTAATCTCTGTTTTGATTATAATTCTCGAAACCTTTTATATTTGTTGTTTATATATATATATATATTTAGGGATGTGATGTAGTAATCTAATGCTTAAATTCTTGTAATTTTTATAGATTTGAAAACAATTTAAAAGATGTATAACCAATCAAATACATTCAATGTTTTATTGACTATTTTTTAAAAACGTATCACACTTAAAGATATTTTAATTATGACAATATAATATAATAGTGTGGATTCTAAAATCCACCAAGTATATAGAAACAAAATATTATATCTATTATATTAAAAGAGAAGTCATGACTCACTTCATGTGTGATTTTTTAGTTTGGAACATCCTTAGAAATTTTATATAAATTTACATAACATCATTATAATATCTTTTCATATCTTTAATTTTTATTTGAAATACAAATAAATAATTTTAAGAAAATTCTAACAAAATCTTTTAAAAATCTTATAGAATCTTTTCAAGATATAGTTTCAAAAATTATTTGATTAAAAATTTAATTATCCTACAATATAATTAAAATTTAATTCATTTTTAACAAAAAAATAAAATTATGTAATATACTTTAACAATATCCCAAAATTTTGTTTATGTACTATGTAGGTCCAATTTAATTTACTTTTTTATATATTTAAAATTTAGAAATAAAACAAAATATATAAATTAATAATGTTACATAATAATGTTTTTAAAAATTGTTACAAAAATACAAATTTATAAATTTTAAATTAATAATATTATAAGCTACATAAATATTATTATAAAATTGGCTAGTATATACAATCAAATTATATTTATTTATTGATAAATTTTACTACCTCAGTTACTTAATATATGATGTTTTGGATCATAGCATAAAAATTAAGAAATTTACATTCTTTTACAAAAGTATTTTTAAAAATATAATTTTCTAATCATTCAACAAATTATTAAAAAGAGTAAAATTTTATCGGTTGAACAATTTCCAATAAAGTTAAAGATAAATTTAAAACCTAAACCTTAAAATCTCAAAACATCTTATATTTTAAAATAAAATAAATCTTATAAAACATCATCTATTTAAAACGGCGTGAGTATTATATAATTTCAAATATTTTTGTATTAAAATATCCGCACGGTTGTGCGGGTCGAGATCTAGTTTGGATTAAAGTTACAACTATTGCTTAGATGTTTCATTGTTAAAAATAGTCGAGATGACATGTCACTAGAAGTCCAATTAGTACAAACTTTTAAACAAAAAAGAAAATTATTAAAATTTAAATTATTTAAGTGTTGTTCAGAAAAATATTATTTAAATTATGATTCTAAAATAAACAGTAAAATAAATAAACAATTTTTTCATGATAAAATATATATTAATTTTATATTTAGTTGAAAATGATTTAAACATTTTAAATATATTTTAATTGTTTACCCGCCTGTAGGGCGGTTCCTAGTTATAAATAAAGTTAACTTAATAATTTTAATTATTTGTGACACTTTTCAACTAAATAAAATTATAGGAATTATAATATAATAAATTAAAAAAAAATCAAGGAATTTTAGATAGAACTGAGACGTTAAGTTATGAGGTATGTTAAAAAACTTTGGAGTAAATGTGGATATGTTTATTTAGTTGATGAATGTTTTGGAACGTTAACATAGTTTGGATATGTTTCTTTCCCAATTTTGTAGTGTGGGTATGAATAAACCATTTTTCGAGTTAAATTCGAGGTTAGTACTAATTAAAAGACAAAACCTTAAATTTGAGGTTTTTGAAATGGGACAAATCCTAGAAACAAAAAGTCTGATTGGGTTTGAATACTTTGCTGTATTGGCACAAAATCAAACCGAAACTAGTTCGGTTTATTCCGTTGCAACGCGCACTAAGTTCTTTCACGCTTGACTGTTCTTCTTCCTCCTCCGCTGAAATTGATCCTCTGGAAGCTACTTGGTTACGATATGATTGGAAACTAGCTCCGACAGCCAAGTCTCCATCGAATCAAATCGAAACGGTGAGTCCATCAGATTCCTCCCTCTGTTTCACCTTTCATGTAAATGCAATCTTTGACTCCGAACCTTTTTAGGGTTTCTTCTCGTCAATGGGGTACGATAGAATAAGCTCACTACCGGATTCCTTACTAACTCAGATACTCTTACACCTTCCGACCAAAGACTCCGTCAAGACAAGCCTCCTCTCGACCAGATGGAGAAACCTATGGCTCGATGTTCCAGGACTAGATCTCCACTCAAACCACTTCCTTTATTCCAGTTCCGTCATCAAAACCTTCACCGACAAGTTTCTAGACCTAAACCGTGAGTCACGCCTCCTAAAATTCAAGATTAGGTATGACGAATGCAATGTCTACCTCTTTGGAATCACCGAATGGTTCGTTACAGCGATTAACCGTGGAGCTCAGGTTCTAGACGTTGACACTCTTAGATCTCCTTACTACAAAGACTTCATGCCTTTGGATATTTACAAGAGCAAGAGTTTGGTCTCTTTGAAGCTTGTTAACGTTGGGTTGTTGAAGCCAGAGTTTGTTGTTTCTTTACCGTGTCTCAAGATCATGCATCTTGAAGATATTCAGTACTCTGATGGTGATGGTTGTTTGATCATGGAGAAGTTTGTCTCAGGATGTCCTGTTCTTGAAGATCTGACCTTGTGCAGGTGTTTTGATGATAAGTTGGTGCCTGTTGTTCTGCGTGTGAGTTCTCAGGCTCTCAAGAGGTTTTGTGTTACGTCTGGGCATGGGATAGAGAATGATGCTCAGGGAATCAAATGTATTGACTTTCGAGATGATGATAGAGTCGTGGTCGTGGGGAAGAATCTGAGCTTCTTGCTCATGGTGGACATTGATACTACTTTGGAAATGAAGTATCTAAGCGATGTTTTAAATGGGGTTTCTAGTGTAAGACATATGATCATCTCTCAGCGTACTCTAAAGGTATATAGATATTATGTACTCTTTGATTCATAATGAAATTTCTCTATATATATAATATCCTTTTTTTTCTTTCTTTCGGGCAGGAACTATATCGTTGCGTAAACATGGAACCAATTAGCAAATTTCATAACTTGTCTCGTTTGGAGGTTTCACTCTCCAGTCTCTTGTTACAAGTGTTGTCCAATTTTCTTGAGATTGGTCCTAACCTAAAGTACCTCACCTTGGTAAAATCATGTTACAAACTTGTGATTTGCTTTTTTTTTCTTGGGACATCATTATGGGGAAGTACTTGATTTGGTTATATTTGTCTTTCCTCGTTACTGGTGGCAGAACCTAGTTTTTTCAACGAAGATTGAAGGAGAGAATCTTGAACTTACTAATGTTCCTCGGTGCTTACTATCGACTCTGGAGTGTGTTGAGATTAAAGAAGTGGTCGCCGGAGAAGAAAGTGGGATGATGAGAGTAAGGATTAGTAAGACAACCGCGTTGAAAGTAGCTAAGCACAAGAAGAAAATCTGGATGGAGGTAGTGAGGTACTTTCTAGAGGATTCGTTAGTTCTCAAGAATCTCGTATTGTGTCTCACAGATTCAGATATTACGAAGAAGCTTGTTACATTCACAAAACGTTTTCGCCGGTGTCAGACTATCTTTCGTTAGATGATGCTTGTGAGTACGTAATTTATTGTGAGGTATCTTTTTGTGGTAGGATATCACAACTAGACTTAGCCTTTTAGAGAGAGGGAGAGATGGTTTAGTATTATGTTAAAACTCTTTTGGTCATGATATGTTTTGTACAGATTTGGATTTGTTTAACCGTTGATGACTTAAAAAGGTCAGTTTAATGCAAAGTGTGTTGCTTTGATGACTTCTAGTATAAATAAATAATCAGTGACCAAGCAGCTTTATCCAAGACGGTCACTAAGTTATATTCTGAAGAGGCATGAGCACATAGTTCCAGATTTGTGGCAGGTGCCATCGTACAGCAGCATGCTATTTGGGTTGGCCTGCCCGTGAGTGCTTGTGAAATCTCAGTCATGATATCTGCCTGAGTTGCTTATGGTTTGGAAATATTGTCTCCAGATCGGTGAATATGCTTTAAAAAAAGTGAACAAAATAGAGTGTGTGCAAGTAGAATCATCTATAACTTCTTGCAAAAGTTGTTAACATACAGTTGAGTCCCCCCACTGCACTTAACTCCAACAACTTCATCTTATTGCATCTCTTTTAGCACTGTAGAATGATTACTCAATGACACTACAAAAGGGAAATATGGAATCAGAAAACAAAATCCAAGAAAACAAAATTTGTGGCTTCTCACTGGTTTTTCTTTTCTTTTTGGCCATAGAAGCAATGAGGTTATTACGGATGTAATCAAACTCTTGATTTGATGATATAATTTACAATTTACCAAAAAAAAAAAAAAAAAATCCAAGAAATGACAATCCTCTCGAAGCTAAGACAATAGTCTCTGTACTCAAAATATGAAGGTCAGACTCAGAATGGTGGTATGCCTGAGAAAATAGACAAATGCTAAAGAAACTCACACATGGGACTTGGTTTTGTTGAATATGGTAAATGTTCTCATGTCATCATGACCATAGTCTAAAGAAAATAACAATGTTGTTGATAAACAAAACTCTTAGCTACGCTTGGGATAACTTTTAAAGTAAGAGGAGGAATATAGTTATCCTCAACCCCAAACACTCCTGAGTCATTTCACAAAACCCAAACAGGTAGGTAGGGCTTTTCAGTCTCTTCACAATCTGAGAATTCGTTCGACGAGACGAGAGAATGCAGAGGCTTTGCACTAAGCTCCGTTCCATCTCTGTCCAATCTAATCGTAACCTCTCTCTCATCGGCGCTCCTCAACGTTTCATCCACCATTCCCCGACTTCTCACTCAACCCTAGGTTTCGCCGCCCCCAGCAAATGGAGCTTCCTTCCCGCAGCCTCCTCGCTCGCCGGAGCCTATCCTTGCTCCATGGGGTCTGCCTTCCTTCCTCACCATGTACGTTTCTGTTAATTCGAATCCCCTTCCTTCGTTAACTGTTACGTGAAAACCGAAGCGATTTAGGTTTAAAGTGCTGATTGAGGAAATTCCAAAGAGAACAAGATCTGAAGAGATACAAATAGTTTTGATTGTGGTAGAACCTTACCGCTCTCTGATTGTTGGTTTAAGTTTAAGCTTTCAGTTTCTTGTGTGAAGTTCTCGAATTTTGCGTCTCCCATGTGAAATGGAATCAAATTGGCTACAATTGGGAGAGTGATTACTTGTCCCTAGTCTCCCTTGCACTTAAGATGTCATGTTTTTGAAGCCAACTGATATAAAAAATGGGTGCCCTAACTCAATCAAATCTCATATAATACACAACATGTCTTCTTCCGAATATCTAATCGATTCGGTTCTCGTCTAAAACTCGTGTCCCTTTTTGATTTGTCCTGCTTCTGATTGTGTTATCTGCTCTTGGTAAAGCGATTTAAGTAGCTCTTGCATTTTGATATCATGCTCTGTTAAGCAAACTGATAAAGATGGGTGCTTAGATATCATCAGTACCAGCTGTGCAAGAGTAGCTTCACTCGGTATCTTTATGTAGATATTGATGTTGCATGGATCTTAACTCGACTAAAGAAATGATATGTTTCTCTTTGTGTACAACATCAACTTATATCTCTGTTGGCTCATCTTTGATCCTCTCCTGGATTCAGCTTGTTCAAGTACGGAATATCACTTCCAAGGACAAAATGGCAAAATGGAAGAAGAAGTGGAGGCCTAGGACTCCAATCACCTCAAAAGTCAAGAAAGTCAAGATCAAGTTCTATTCGTACGTCTTCTTATTCCAATATTTATATATCATCATCATAGTGATTTTAAGTTTGTGGGTCTCTCATAACAGTGTTTTATTTTTTTTTTTGTTGAATTCAGGTCATACAAAGATAGGTTTAAGCCACTGAATGATGGTACCATCCGCCGCTGGAAAGAAGGCAAGCGCCACAACGCACACTTGAAGGTAAACTAACTGCATCTTATTTTATAATATTAATCTCTGAGTTCAGTTATTCATTTGCCCAATGCCTATGGTAGAACAGTATGATAATAACACTAGGAATCTTACTGATCAGAACTTCGCTTTCATCTGATTTATGGTCACAATGTGAGTATGTTTAACATAGAAAGTGTGATTTCTTGTTTAGCTAGATAGTTAAATTGTAGACAGATACCCTTTCTAATGATACTCTATAGTTTGGAGTAAGGTTGAAATATGTTGAGAGTAATGCATCTCTTTACTTGTATGCAGTCAAAGAAATCAAAGCGTAGATTGAGACAGCCTGGACTAGTACCACCAGCATATGCCAAAGTCATGAAGAAACTCAATTTCTGCAATTGAGAGATCAGAGTGAGAAACAGTTCAGTCTCTTCCAATATTCCTTGATAATGCTCACTGATACGTGGTACCCAAAGATTTAATCAAAACTTTATTTCTTTTGTTGTTGCTTCAGTTTTAACCTATTACACCTCCAAGTAATAAATTGGCATTTTGTTCCTTTCCCCTTAGGGTTGAATATCAGTTGAAACTTTTATTTATTATTTTCTTTTGGTTGAATGTACCAGTTTATGAAGGTTTTAATTGATGTCATTGAACTGAAAAAGAAAAAGTTCCAAACATGCTTTCTGATTTCTGAACATTGTAAAACCTTAGGGAGGTGTACTGAATCCAGTATTTCTGAAGATTTTAAAATCCTTTTTATTTTAAATGGATTTTTAGATTTGACATAAATTATCACTTTTAGATGCAAATAACTTTAAATTCATAATATAATCCTCTTTTCACTTACCATTTACTAATTAGTTTAGTGGTTGAATATTTTAAGTGAATAGAAAATCTAATAGAGTTGTTAGACAGAGTTATTAGACCACTAATATTTGCTTTAATGCATGTAATCTTAATTTTGTGTTATTTGGTTAATGTTAATTAATAAGTTAATTTTGGTGTATTTTATTTGATGTAATCTATTATATACGAAGATCTGAATTTATAATGATTAAACATGTTTTATTGCAAAATCGTCACCAATTATTTTTTTATTAAAGACTTTCAAATCATTTACAAGTTAAATGTACACAAACCAATAAACAATATTTTTGAACCAAAATTTTGTGTGTACTACCGTATCCAACTAGACCGGAAGCCGTACCATTATCTATATTATTAAATCTATATTATTAAACTTGAAATACAAAAATGAACTAAAACTTTAGATTAACAGTTTAATTCTAATTAATTAATATCAATAAAACTAACCAATATGTCCAGAAACTAACCAATCCTAGTTTTCAGCATTAATTAGTCTTAACAAAATCTTCCTTTCAAATAAAATCATTTTATTTATTTATAAACAACATTAATGATGGTTTCAAATTACAATATATTTTAACAAATATTTTAAATTACTTAATTAATTTCACCGTAATTAATTACATATAAATTAATACAAATAATATGACATAATAATATAAATCCTTTTTACCATTATGTAAATATTAAAATATATAATTTATTATATCCAAAAATAAGTAGTCTGTTTATACTATATATAATACTATTTTAAAATCTCCAAAGATTAATATACATGAAGAATATATAAATGACATAAAACAAATAATTTTTCAGATAATTAAATACATATTGTTAATAATTTTACGGCTATCTTCAAAATTGACTCAAAACATGATGTCAACTCCAAAATTAACATATCTTTTGTCCTGTTCATCCTACAAATTCACATTATGTACGAAAATACCATTAGTTTTTTTCTTTTTCGAAAATGGTTTTTTACTATCTCTCAACCTCATCATCTTCAAGTATTTACAAGATTGTCATTGCCATCAATATACCAACCACCATGAACAACCAATTTAAAGTTCTTAATGCGCCTTAAATCAATTTACGTTTTTTCTTTCTCAATTCTTATGAACTAAAAACAACATACTTTCACTTTCTCTCCATTTTCATCCAAAATAACCCAAAATTTTGATTCTAAATTTTTTATGGTTCATAGATCCATTGAAGCTTACGATTCTTGGTGGGTCACTTTTGTTTGAGATTCTGTGTGCTTGGAGAAAACTTCTATGTGCTAAACAAGTTATCTCACTGGTTGAAACTATGAAATCGAGATTTTTTCCAGATATGTTCGTCCAGACGACTTCTAGGTAAGTCGTCGAAGTCGTCTAGCTGTAAATGACTTACATGGAAGCCGTCTGGTCAATGTAGAGGTTAATTTTGCAATTGATTTTTAAATTTTTTTTTTCTAGACGACTGACATGTAAGTCGTCCACCTTTGTTTCATAAAAAAAATTCGAGACGACTTCCATGTAAGTCGTCTAGGGAAAACAAGTTAGTTTTGCATTTGACTAGAAGGTGTTAGAAATTTGAATTTTCCTGGAATAAAAAATTAAATAAATCAATATTTTGTTATACCTAGACGACTTATATGGAAGTCATCTCAGGTTAGTTTTGCAATTGAAATATATTAAACAATTTTCTTTTTCTAGACGACTTACAAAAGTCCTCCATGATTTTATTCCAATATTTTGGTCAAACCTTACTTATCTTGGACGACTTTCATGTAAGTTATCGGACGGACGACTTACCTGTAAGTCGTCTAGAAAAAAAATTGTTTAATATTTCAATTGCAAAACTAACTTGAGACGACTTCTATGTAAGTCGTCTAGAATTTTAATTTTCTACTGGACGACTTACACAAATTACGTGTAAGTCGTCCAGGAAAAGTCAAATTTCAGACACATTCTGGTCAAATGCAAAACTAAATACATTTGCCTAGACGACTGACATGTAAGTCGTCTCGAATTTTTTTTTTCAAACAAAGGTGGACGACTTACATATAAGTCATCTAGGTTAAAAATCAATTGCAAAACTAACCTAAATGGACGACTTCCTAGAAGTCGTCTGCGTCAAATTTTAATAAATTTTCATTTTCTCTAAACCTATAAAGATTTTTTAATATTTGTTTGTTAATTCATGTATATTAGTCAATATTAGAACTACTGAATGAAATTTATAACTTAATTGGTGATATTTATGAAGTTACCAACATTGATGTTAATTAAAGTTTCTAGCTGATTGTACGCTAGTTTTTGAATAACTTGTATTTAAGACTTCCTGGAAGTCGTCTAGTGCATTATATTTTAGAAGACTTTCCATAAGTTTTCCAAAGTCAGATACAGATCTGAAAAAACATGTATATCAAACCTAGATCAGAAAAACCTGCAAAAAAAAGATACATTAGTGAGAAAGACATGAGACAAAACTGAAAATCCATATAAGATTTGTTATTTTCAAGCCAAAGAGATTATAGTGGATTTGGAGAGTTTTAGTTTGGAAAAAAGGTAAGAACTTTATGCAACACGAGTTACCAAATGAAAAAAAAAAATCAGACATAAAAACTTACCAGAACGCTCAAATCTGTTATGAAAAGGAATGATATGGGAGAAGACTCCGTAAGAAGACTTCGTGGAAGTCATCTAGAAGACTTCACTGAAGTCGCCTGGAAGACTTCGTGGAAGACTTCCTGGAAGTCTTCTAACGCATTATATTTTAGACGACTAATATGTAAGTTGTCCCGGAAGTCTTCCAGATCTGAAAACCTGCATATCAAATCTAGATCTGAAAAACATGCATATCCAAAAACGTTCAAATGGCTTAAAAACAGAGAAGATGTATGGACGATTTGATAAATCTACCTTTATAGAACACATAAAAATACATATCTAAAATTAATAGATCTACCTTTAAAGGAGTTGAAGATGAGAACCATGTGATGAAATACCTGCAAAAACAAGATAAATTAGTGAGAAAGACATGAGAAATAAATTGATATAAAGTTTGTGTTTATAAGTTCAAAGCAATTAAAGAGAGATTGGAGAGTTTTAGAATGATGAACATTACATTTTTGTTGCAGCCATTTGAGAGAATGACATAAAATGTGTAAAATTTTCTTTATATAGGGAGACAAAAAATTCAATTAGGTTAAATATTTTTGATTCAGACGACTTACTTGTATAAGTCATCGAGAAGAAATACAACTTATTTGTAAGTCGTCGAGAAGACTTAATATTTTTAGCGAGAAACTAAAATAGAATACTTCCTAAACGACTTAAATACAAGTAAGTCGTCTAGATCCTAAACATAACTCATTAAAAAAATTAACTAACTAAACACTTCATAAAATTAAATTAAACTTAAAAAGTGTTTACTATACACATAAATAAATTTTCATTTTTCAAAAAACATTTTCAATTTTAATTTCGTAAACAATTATTATTATGTAAAAATTTATTTTTCCTTTTTTCTGAATAAAATAATATTTAAGCGGAAAAATAAATTTTAGGAAGGAATATTAGGACGAGGTACATGTAAGTTTCCTGGTTTAAATTATTCATCAGACGACTTAAAAATTAGTCTTCTACACCCTAAACATAACCCTAAACTTAACTAAATAACTAAACACTTTATAAAATCAAATTAAACATAAAAGTGTTTACTATACACATAAACAAGGTAATAATCCGCACCTTATGCGGAATGTGATTATTAGTTTCGTTTTATTTTAATAAGGAAATACTAAATATGTTTAATCTAGATATCGTTTTTTTTTAGTTTTTTTCATCTACTACAATATAACAATTATTATAAACCAATATTTAGTTTAGTTTTTTCGATTAAAATGTTTGATGTTTTTTACTTTTCTGGTGATAACCAAAATTATTATTATATGTTTGTTTTCATGTTATATGAATTTTTGATAGTCCCGATGTCAAACCAATGGTTTCATATTATAGATTCCAAATAGATGATAATTAAAGAAAACGAAAAAGAAAATTATTAAGACAAATAATTTCACTATAATTGATCGATAGTGAAAAAAACATTAAGAAAACAAATATTTCAACTTACAGGAGAATTAGATACTTATGTTGTGGTGAATATTTACTTATATAGATGTTCACGTCAATATGAATATATATATTCGTATGTAAGAGTATATAGAAGTGGTTGAAAAATATTTTAAGACACTGATAATTAATATTAAATGATATTTTTGTTCAAAATAACACATGAAAGATAAATTTTTAGAAAAATGATTAATAATAAAATACACCTAAACATTAGTAAAGTTTTTTTTTAATATATAGAAAATTAAATTGTATACGTAAATAGGCGTGAGTACGAATCGAATATCTGTATATTGAAGGTTTCATGTTAATTTGATCCGTAACGACCTGGATATTTGGTGTCTTGGATATCAAGACAATTTTAGAATTTTAACAGATGTTTGGTTTGAACCGTAAATTAAATTTAAAAAATAAAAATAAATTAAAATTTTTAAAAATTATATAAAATATTATCTAACTTTTTAAATTCTAATTCTGAATATAATAAATCTATAAATAAAAATACTGTAAAACTTATATAAATAATATATATATATGATTTATATATATAATTATTTAAATTGTATGTATATATATATGCATATAACGGATCTAACCGGATATCCCTTCTTAAAAATATTAGTATTATGATTTTTTTTTTTTTACAGATATCATATTTTAGTATTTGATTTTCTTTTAGAGTTATGAATATCCTGATTTTTTGGTTCGAATAAAAACGAAAAAAAATTGA